GTGTGACCAAGTCCAGGTTGATGATCTGACTTTCTGCCTCATCACACAGGGTCTCAATTGTTTCCTGACAACACAACATACATACTGTATCGTTTCTCACTCTTGATTTGTTTTTCATTATTGTAGTAAACAACTTCGGCCTGGTTCACATTTATCCCGCAGTTATTACAACTAGTGGCTGACCAGCGGTGGGTGAGCTCTGCAGTTAGTCCGTCTCGTTCTCTCTGGCATCGTGTCTTCCCACACCCGTGACATCACAGTTATCCTCGACACTTACTGCACATATCTCGCTGACAAGAAACCGGTAATGTCTTGTGTACAGTACATAATCGCCATTAGTATTTTAGTCTTTTTACAATCTTACACCGTATTAGATCCATCTAGCGGGCGGTCTATAGCAATGTGATTGGTGCGTCGCTCGTGGGGTGATGGTGTTTTGTTTATTGTGGTTTACAGTGTCCATTATAACCGGGTTCCATTCGAGTTCCATTATAACCAGGTTCCATTATAGCGAGGGTTACTGTGCACATTTGTGTTATATAACTTTGTGTTCCTTGTCTGCAGGTATGATAGCGGACAGAGGCGAGTTGGGGAGACCAGTTTCCGTCTAACAAGCCAACATGACGACACACACACAAACCAAAACACTTTAAAGTCTTGGGTCTGTATGTTGTGATATAAAATAAATGAAAGTTTTACTGATAGTGACGACCTCGTTACCTTGTGAGAATGACCACGAACATTGCAGTGATCAGAGAATCTTATGATATGTTTCAACGATTGACGCGTGTGAGGGAGGATCCTAAATACTAAAGTAGAAAGTGGTGGATATACCCACGCCAAGAAAACGCGAGGCTCGGCCTTTGTTCAGGTTGGCACCTAGGCTGCAGCTACGGTTCTGGGTTATTGTTAGAACACAGTGAATTTCCCCAAGAACTAGCAAACCAGACTCTTACTTTAGTATGTAATTTAGAATTAAGATATAATTATGAGGCATAAGGTCACAACAGATAGGAAAGTGTATATGTGAGAACCAGAATAATGTCAAAGTGAAATGTAAACTTTGGAAACTGTAGGCCTAGTTCAGGGCGAGACGCCATGCCATAGTATCAGTCGGAGTCTCTTCTCACCCTTGCAGGTCAGTATATTTATAGAGGCCTATCTAGCAGTTTATATACATATGTGAGACCCTTCTAATGTCATAAAGTGAATAAAGAGTTGTAATAGTGTGTGGTGATAAAGCCCCTCAGGCATTATGATCAGTCGGGGTCTCTTCTCACCTTGCAGGGTGTCTGACAGTAGGCCGAGGTCAGAGAAATGCGGCCCAGCCATGTCCTCCTGTGAACACCCACATGTTACTGTGGGGAGCTGCCTTGGCCACCCTGCAATCTCCATTTAGGCGATATCATATCACCATCTAGGACAGAAGACATTGGTTGTCTTTTTGGAATGATTCGTCGTTCGCCATAGCGACCCCATGATACAGACTGGAATAGCAAGAGTAAGCGTGGCTGAGTCTACCGATCAAGTGTACCTTGGTGCTACAAGGAAGAATGGTGCTGTAAATGTTGGTGCTACAAAGTATTTTTGGTTGATTGTATAAAGATTGACCTGGGTAAGGGGGTCAATGATTTGTTATGAAGAATGCAGATTTTAATTAGTTAATTTAGAGAAAGTCGTGTACTGGTGTGAATTGTAATGAATAGGGCCCGGATAGTTATGCACTAAAAAACCATGAAATACGCATGCAAATATGCACTAAAACAGGGGAAATATGCATTTATATGCACTAAAATGTCACTTATAAAGCCAAGAATGCAGGTTATCAGGAAACAAAATAGTTAATATAAACTAATGTTAATGTTTATTAAGCAATATGTAATGTATTTAACATATACAGTATATGTGGTCTTCAAAAATATATATATGAACATGCATTTACATTATAGACTGACATATTTTCAGACATACAGATTGTGGTTGCATTTGATGATGACATGGTGGCGTAAGTTCTCAGACCCGCCTGTTGTCTGTCAGCATAGCTTTTATTCTAGACACCCTTTCTACATCCTGCGAGACGATTGGTGCATGTTTCATACATAGGAGGTCTGACATAGTGAGTGGCTGTACCGTCGTCAATAATAGCATCAGTATACTGTTCAGGAATGACTTAGGCACTTGTTATTCAGTTTATGCAATGGAATATCGCTGAAACAAATGCCTTGCACAAATCTGCGTTGAACTAGGAGCGATCAGGCCCTGACTTACTGGAACATGCAAGAAGTAGTTGTCTTTGTACACTATTGGACTTAACAGCCGGTCGGATGTGCTTGCTTGTTTTAAGGTGTTGTTGGACTTGAATTTCTTGCTGCTGTCACTGGTGCTTCACAATATTTACAAATAGCACTTCCATCAGTAGTAAATGCATCAATTCCTTTACATGATCTCAGCACTTCATTTTGGTTTCTTTGTACTTTGGCATTTTCACGAGCAGCAGAAGAGAGTAGCACACAGCAGCACTGCTCTGACTGACTAACTCACTAGTCCAATGAGTCATGACCAGGTGTGGAAAGCGACAGATTAAATCACCTCTCCCTTCACCTAACCACACTCCTCCTCCCAGTACCACGTGTGCTCATTCAGTGGCAACAAGAGATACTGCCAGATGAATATTTTACCAAAATATGCATTTATATGCAGTTATCTAGGTAATATGCACTTATCATAGAAATCAAAATATGCATTTGCATATGAAATATGCAAATGCATAACTATCCGGGCCCTAGTAATGAATCTAATAGTAGTTATTTTGATGAAGGTCAATTAGTTTTTGTACTGTAACTGAATGCACAATATTTTTATTGGGAAATAAATTAGTTAAGTCATGAATGATGTTTCACCCTTACTCCCACTCTCGATTTGGTAAATGAGAAACTCAACTCGATGCCTGGCGTGCTCTGCCAGCTACCTAAACAAGCTACACTTATGTACTGTCCAGGGGGTCTGGTGGCAGCGACCTTAAAACTAAGAGTATGTTTAAGTTATCCCCTTAGGATTAATGACCCCAGAATGGGCAGTATAACAATGCATCTCAGTGTGTGTGTGTGTGTGTGTTTATTAGTGAAAAGTCGGAATAAAGTGCAACAAATGTGTCCCAGTGCAAGCAGTGTGTTGTGATTAATGGCACGAAATCATCATCCGTACCTGTCTGGGTACCACAGGAGTACTTGGCCGCTGTTTGTTTGTATAAATGACATGCCTGACGTTGTACACTCCTCCATACAAATATTTGCCATTGACGCCATTATTTCGGGAAATCAGAACCAGCGGACTGTGAAGAGCTGCAGAAGGACCTCTGTGGGTCCAGAATGGTGAAGAAATGGCTGCTGAGATTCAATGTGAAGTGTAGAAGGATGCAGGGGCATACCAGCGGTAGAGGAAGTATGTTCCAATGGGATGAAGAAACTGCACTAGTTGAGACTGAGGAGAAGGACCTAGGTGTGTATGTTGACAATGAGCTAGTTCTCGGCCATTGTGGAGAAGAAGGTAAATCAGGCAAATAAATTATATTGGTCTTATAAGAAGGTCGTTTTATCTAGACGGTCCGTCCCTCAGAATCGACTTTCAGAAGTGAAGTGCTTCCCCATCTGGAGTACTGTCACCCTGTCTGGTCCCTGAGGTATGCTAGGGACTGTCAGTTGGTTGAAAATGTTCAAAGGAGGGCCACCAGACTGGTGCCTGAACTACGGCACCTCAACTACCATGAGAGATTGGAGCGCCTGAACTTGCCTGATTTATACTACAGACGGGCAAGGGTGACCTAGTTGAGGTGTATAAGCATCTCAAGGGGCACTACTCAGTCGAGTGTCCTTACCTGAGCTGGCGGACGCTCGCCCCTGAAGGGTCACAGCTCAAGGTTGAAGAAGCCACAAGTCCAGAAAACTGTGGAGGGCAAACTTTGGAGTGAGAATTGAGAACTGTTGGAACAACCTGCCAGAGAGGTTAGTGACGGCCCTGAGTGTGAGCTGTTTCAAGACCAGACTTGACCAACACTGGAGCAGGTTCAGGTACATTCAGGAGCCAGTACATGCCCAGTACTTGTCAGCCCAAGCGGCTAGCGAGCCGATCAGTGGTGAAGAGGATATAAGTAAAAAGTATTACATGGTGGCTGGTGCCAACTGGGTCTCCATGTCCATACCCTCCTGGCCTCCTCGTTAGTATGATGAGGTCCAGTGGCTTGGGTGTTTGCCCAAGCAGCCAACGAACCGATCAGTGGTTAAGAGGATGAAAGTAAAACAAATGTCTCTGAGTTTCTACGAAAAGAGTGCCTGGATTCTTGAACCATTCGATGTCGCCATGATTAAAGTCACCCACGACAAAGAGGTGGCCAAGGTCCTGCACTGTGGCATTGTCATTTATCCACTACAAGTTCCTCTGGTTTAATAAGCAACAGTTTGGGGATCTGTTTAATGTTATACACCACACACATTGTACAGATCCTGGGAAGAACAAAAGATCCTCATCGGCTGGAAATGAGCATATGATTTGTTTTAGAGTTTGGGGTTTTTTAATCTGTATATTTTATATAAATGTTCAAACTATATAATGGAAGGTTTTACATAAACGCTCACTTACTTAAAATTAAAATCGTGGTTAAGGGAAATAATTGATGTAAATAATTTTGAATATATATTAATATAAGATAATGAATGGAAATTTTAAACTAAATAAATGAAAAACATGCACAATAGAGTAAGTCATACAATAAACATTTATACAAACTCTCCTTGGTGTCAACTCCATCTTGATCAGCGTCAGGCGTGATGTTTAATGTCAATATAATACCCCGGACATAATTAAAACTAACCAGTATTATTGTTTTAAGCTGAATAACTTAAAAGTATTTAAGATTAATAATAATATAACAAAAAGATAAATTAGGATATATAACCAGAAAAATAAACGGGTTGGGTGTTAATGTTCGTGGTAGTGTTTGAAACATTGTCCCCGTGGTGTTGAGCAGGTAGAGGCATGGGTCGTTGAGGCGGCTTAAGGTTTACCTCTTCCATCATGACTGGCAGATACACAAGGCTCCTCCATCAGGTTAGTAGCGGGAACAAGGCTCTTTAACTTGTATATATTATAGCCACAGTTATTAAAGTGATCTATTTTATTACCTTAACATAAGTTAGGTCTGATGGGGCAAGGACTCGGTAACTACAGTTCACTTCTGGTCAATGTGGGACAAATGTCTGAATATTGAGTCATATATTGTTAAGAGAACAAATATAAACATTATTTCTTCTATAACGTTTGTGTGGTAAATGAGGCTCAGTGAAGATAAAGCCTACCTAGAGTGAGGCCTTGGAAAGGTTGACTACTAAGGGTGTGCCCAGGAGTCTTGTATGGGGGTTGACCATTACCAAGGGCGTGCCCAGGAGTCTTGTATGGGGGTTGACCATTACCAAGGGTGTGCCCAGGAGTCTTGTATGGGGGTTGACCATTACCAAGGGTGCCCAGGAGTCTTGGGGGGGGTTGCCATCAAGGTACCCAGGAGTCTTGTATGGGGGGTGGACCATTCACAAGGGCGTGCCCAGGAGTCTTGTATGGGGGGTTGACCATTACCAAGGGTGTACCCAGGAGTCTTGTATGGGGGGGTGACATCACTGGGCGGGCGTGCCCAGGAGTCTTGTATGGGGGGTTGACCATTACCAAGGGTGTACCCAGGAGTCTTGTATGGGGGGTTGACCATTACCAAGGGCGTGCCCAGGAGTCTTGTATGGGGGGTTGACCATTACCAAGGGTGTACCCAGGAGTCTTGTAGGGGGGTTGACCATTACCAAGGGCGTGCCCAGGAGTCTTGTATGGGGGGTTGACCATTACCAAGGGCGTGCCCAGGAGTCTTGTATGGGGGGTGACCATTACCAAGGGTGTAGCCAGAGTCTTTGTGGGGGGGTTGACCATTACCAAGGTGTAGCCAGGAGTCTGTATGGGGGGTTGACCATTACCAAGGAGGAGCTGTGGGGGGGTTGAATAACAAGGTGTGAGCCAGGAGTCTTGTAGGGGGTTCATTACCAAGGGCGTGCCCAGAGTCTTATGGGGGGTTGACCATTACCAAGGGTGTAGCCAGGAGTCTTGTATGGGGGTTGGACCATTACCAAGGGTGTACCCAGGAGTCTTGTATGGGGGTGGTGACCATTACCAAGGGGTGCCCAGGAGTCTTGTAGGGGGGTTGACCATCAAGGTGTAGCCAGAGTCTTGTATGGGGGTGACCATTACCAAGGGCGTGCCCAGGAGTCTTGTATGGGGGGTTGGTCATCACTGCATGGGTGCACCCAGGAGTCTTGTATGGGGGGTGGACTGACAAAGGGTGTAGCCAGGAGTCTTGTATGGGGGGTTGACCATAACAAGGGTGTGCCCAGGAGTCTTGTATGGGGGGGTTGACCATTACCAAGGGTGTAGCCAGGAGTCTTGTATGGGGGTTGACCATTACCAAGGGTGTCCCAGGAGTCTTGTGTGGGGGGTGACCATTACAAAGGTGTACCCAGGAGTCTTGTATGGGGGTTGACCATTACGAGTGGTGTAGCCAGGAGTCTTGTATGGGGGGTGGACCATTACCAAAGTGCCCAGGAGTCTTGTATGGGGGGTTGACCATTACCAAGGAGACAGAGTCTGTATGGGGTGACCATTACCAAGGGAAATTCAGAGTCTTGTATGGGGGTTGACCACCAAGGGCGTGCCCAGGAGTCTTGTATGGGGGTTGACCATTACCAAGGGTGTACCCAGGAGTCTTGTATGGGGGTTGACTATTACCAAGGGTGTACCCAGAGTCTTGTATGGGGGTTGACCATTACCAAGGTGTACCCAGGAGTCTTGTATGGGGGTTGACCATTACCAAGGGTGACCAGAGTCTTGTGGGGGAAGGACTTACCAAGGGCGTGCCCAGGAGTCTTGTATGGGGGTTGACCATTACCAAGGGCGTGCCCAGGAGTCTTGTATGGGGGGTTGACCATTACCAAGGGTGTACAGGGGATTTCTGTATGGGGGGTGACCATTGCCGGGCGTGCCCAGGAGTCTTGTATGGGGGTGGACCATTACCAAGGGCGTGCCCAGAGTCTTATGGGGGTTGACCTATCAGTAAAATGTGGAGTCTTGAAGGGGGGTTGACCATTACCAAGGGTGGAGTCTTAGATATGGGGGGTTGACCATTACCAAGGCACCCAGGAGTCTGATGGGGTGCCATCAGGGTGTAGCCAGAGTCTTGTATGGGGGGTGACCACCAAGGGTGCCCAGGAGTCTTGTATGGGGGACCAAGGGTGTGTACCCAGGAGTCTTGGTGGGGGTTGACCATGGGGTACCAGGAGTCTTGGTGGGGGGCTAATTACCAAGTGCCCAGGAGTCTTGGTGGTGGAGACTTACCAAGGGCGCCCAGGAGTCTTGTGGGGGTTGACCATTACCAAGGGTGTACCCAGGAGTCTGTATGGGGGGTTGAGACCATTAAAGGGGAGTCTTGTATGGGGGAGTTGACTACCGGGTGTACCCAGGAGTCTTGTTGGGGGGGGTGACCATACAGGGTGTACCCAGGAGTCTTGTATGGGGGTTGACCATTACCAGGGCGTACCCAGAAGTCTTGTATGGGGGGGGTTGACCATTACCAAGGGCGTGCCCAGGAGTCTTGTATGGGGGGTTGACCATTACCAAGGTGTACCCAGGAGTCTTGTATGGGGGTTGACCATTACCAAGGGTGTGCCCAGTCTTGTATGGGGTTGACCATTACCAAGGGCGTGCCAGTCTTGTATGGGGGTTGACCATTACCAAGGCGTACCAGGAGTCTTATGGGGGGTTGACCATTCGGTGTACCCAGGATGTATATGGGGGGGTTGGCCATTACAAGGGTGTACCAGGAGTCTTGTATGGGAGTTGACCATTACAAAGGGTGTACCCGAGTCTTGTATGGGGGGTTGACCATTACCAAGGCGTGCCAGGAGTCTTGTATGGGGGGTTGACCATTGCAAAGGGGTGTGGCAGGAGTCTTATGGGGTTGACCATTACCAGGGTGTACCAAGTCTTGTATGGGGTGGTTAACATTACAAGGGCTGTACCCAAGTCTTATGGGGGTTGACCATTACCAAGGGTGTAGTCTTGTATGGGGGTTGACCATTACAGGGTGTACCCAGGAGTCTTGTATGGGGGGTTGACCATTACCAAGGGTGTAGAGTCTTGTATGGGGTTGACCATTACCAAGGGTGTACCCAGGAGTCTTGTATGGGGGTTGACCATTACCAAGGGTGCCAGAGTCTTGTATGGGGTTGACTATTACCAAGTAGGAGTCTTGTATGGGGGGTTGACCATTACCAAGGGTGTAGGAGTCTTGTATGGGGGTTGACCATTACCAAGGGTGTGCCAGGAGTCTTGTATGGGGGTTGACCATTACAGGGCGTACCCAGGAGTCTTGTATGGGGGCTTGACCATTACCAAGGGTGTAGCCAGTCTTGTATGGGGTTGACCATTAGGGTGTACCCAGGAGTCTTGTATGGGGCTTGACCATTACCAAGGGTGTAGCCAGGAGTCTTGTATGGGGGGTTGACCATTACCAAGGGTGTACCCAGGAGTCTTGTATGGGGGGTTGACCATTACCAAGGGTGTACCCAGGAGTCATGGGGGTTGACCATTACCAGGGCGTGCCAGGAGTCTTGTATGGGGGGTTGACCATTACCAAGGGTGTAGCCAGGAGTCTTGTATGGGGGGTTGACCATTGAAGTGTACAGAGGTCTTGTATGGGTGGTTGACCATTACCAAGGGCATACCCAGGAGTCTTGTATGGGGTTGACCATTACCAAGGGTGTAGCCAGGAGTCTTGTATGGGGGTTGACCATTACAAGGGCATACCAGGAGTCTTGTATGGGGGCTTGACCATTACAAGGGTGTAGCCAGGAGTCTTGTATGGGGGCTTGACCATTACCAAGGGTGTACCCAGGAGTCTTGTAGGGTTGACCATTACCAAGTGTACCCAGGAGTCTTGTATGGGGGGTTGACCATTACCAGGCGTGTAGGAGTCTTGTATGGGGGGTTGACCATTACCAAGGGTGTAGCCAGGAGTCTTGTATGGGGGGTTGACCATTACCAGGGTGTACCGGTCTTGTATTGGTTGACCATTACCAAGGGCATACCCAGGAGTCTTGTATGGGGGGTTGACCATTACCAAGTGTGCCAGTCTTGTATGGGGGTTGACCATTACAGGTGTACCCAGGAGTCTTGTATGGGGGGTTGACCATTACCAAGGCGTGCCCAGGAGTCTTGTATGGGGTTGACCATTACCAAGGTGTACCCAGGAGTCTTGTATGGGGGTTGACCATTACCAAGGGCATACCCAGGAGTCTTGTATGGGGGGGTTGACCATTACCAAGGGCGTACCCAGGAGTCTTGTATGGGGGGGTTGACCAGGTTGTCTGAATGGAAATATATACATGGCCGAGTGCAGCGACTTTTTGAGGCCATTGCGGCTATTAGGTTATTTGAATAGATAATCAATGGGGTAATGTAGAGTGAGGGTAAACACTCAATGTCATAATGAAAACTAAAAAGTACAATGCAAGTTCAACATTATAAATCATGTTTTATTTTTATTACACATCAAGAGTACCTTTCACCACCACATTTTGAGTTTATTGACATTTTATTTTGTATTGTTTAAGGAATCACTTCATTGCAGTTATTCATGATCATCTGCAATAATATCAACAAGTTCTATTTTCCTCTGATTTTGCCGTACAAAGATGTCAATGATGTCACTGAAATGTCTCTGTGGAGGAGGCTGAGGGTAGACAGTCGTCCAGTCTCCATTGCTGGTCTTCAAGGCACTGAAGGACCTCTCAGCAGAGCAGGGTCATGTCAGGTCATAAACTGAGCCTAAGACCTGACATGACCCAAAATTCCACACACAAGTTATGTCTTATAATCAAGCCGCTTGTGTTTGACCGTATTAAGATTAGGGAGGAAGATGGCAGCAGATCAAAGACACTTCAGATGAGCAGCGTGGGCCTCTGTTTCCTCCCTGGATATGTCCCTGATTACAGTACCATGTATAGTGGTCTGCACGATACTGACACACTGATTAACACTGTGGACACGTTACTGATGATGCAAGAACACCTTGAGCCCTAAAAATATCAGTGGGTAATATTTGTAGTTCCTGACCATAACCTGAATTACAGTAAAACTTCTATTTAATGAACAGTATGGAGAGGAAAATCTATTATATCGAGGGTTTGTTAGATGTGAAACCTCCATATAATGAACTACAGTATATTGAGAAGAAAGTCCATTATATCGAGGGTTTGTTAGATGTGAAACCTCCATATAATGAACTATATTGAGATAAAAGTCCATTATATCGAGGGTTTGTTAGATGTGAAATCCCCATATAACGATTATGATGAGAAAGATGTCCTTTATATGGAGGTTTTATTGTATTCCAATATATTTCTCGACATTTGATAACTTAGTTAGACTTATGTGCCCTTTCCATACTAACCTGGCCTGTAAGCCACGCCCCTCATCTATAAAAAGAGCTGATTGGTTCATAGAAAATGTTCGTGTAGCTGTCCATTTACTCAAACTAAATATGTACACAGTTGGTAAGCAGATCTGTTATTATCTAAAATATTGTTAGATATATGAACTATCAAAATGTAAATGATTCAAAGGCTTTTAACACTTGAGAGATGACGTTGGAAAAGTTGAAATATTTATTATAAAAGGTCAAAGTCAAAGATAAAATTCCTTTTTAAATGAATTCTTTATTATTTTTTGTTCTGAATCAAATATAAACCAAACAGAAACAAACGATACCAGACTTAGAGCACAATATGTAATGAACTAGAGTTTGTATGGCTGGATATATCCCAAATAATTTATATTTGTGGTTTAAGTAACGACCATCAGATGAAGCAAGGTGAGTGTACAGTTGCTTCTACGTGGTCGACTATAATAATTGAGTGTTTTCTGTTTATTGGTTTATCTTTGGTTTATGTCTCGGAGTACAGTAATAAAGAGTGAGACATCAGTGGTTTATGTCTCAGAGTACAGTAATAAAGAGTGAGACATCAGTGGTTTATGTTTCAGATTACAGTGGAATAATAAAGAGTGAGACATCAGTGGTTTATGTCTCAGAGTACAGTAATAAAGAGTGAGACATCAGTGGTTTATGTTTCAGATAATAAGTGAGACACGACTCCTGGTTTATAGTGTAATGTTTTATTCCTCAGAGTAGTATGAGCGAGGCGCGATGAAGCGAGGTAGAGAACAGATCCCGGAGGAGGAACCTCTCTCCAAACGCATCAACAACCTCCACCTGGACGGCTCCTCTGCCATGCTCAACGGCTCGGCCTCCCCGGGCACCTCTCACGCCCCGTCTCTTCTGGGCGAAAACAACGGCAATACCATTCAAGAGAGGTTGGCGGGCATGCCGATCGTGCCCATGACCAACGGACTCGTCAACGGCACGTCGGGCCACGGCGGTGCGGGGAGTTTAAACGACCTGGAGAGGATGAGAAACGAGCTGATAGCCCGGAGAGAACTGCCCGAGTCTCTCAACGTAGTGTACCCGAGCCTCAACCCTTCGGACAATGACCAATATTTTAGTTTTAATAAGGTACTGCATGAGTTACATATTGAAAAGTTGAAAAGGATTGGTAAAGTCCCACTAGGAAGTTTATAGTGAAGTGAGTAACAACCTTCTTCAAAACTTGTAATGTAATACAGTGGTCCCTCGGTTAACGAGCACAATTCGTTCCAGAAGGTTGCTCGTTAACCGAAAAATTCATTAACCGAAACCATTGTTTCAATGGGTTTTTGGGTAATTGGTTCCAGCTCACCGAAAATTACATACAAACGAAAAATAAATGCAGTAAAGTATGCTTACTTTGAGGTGTGCATGTAGAAGGCTCCTGGTTGATGATGATGATGATGATGGGGGTGGAGGAGAAGGGAGAAGAGAAGGCATTGGGGTGGAAGAGAAGTCACCCCATGCTGCCATTTCACCCATAAGATTTTAGTTCACTTGGTGTAATTCAAGATTATTTTTCTTTAAATCAACACTGCACTGCGCTATATGTTATCAATATGTAAAATATATTTCAAAATGACCAATAATTTTACTGGAAACAGAAAAAAAGCGTTATGTTGAAGAGTCTCAAACAAGATGTTCCTTCCTCTGAACCTGTAAACAAACTGACGCCAAGCTTGGTGTGTTGAGTGGCTGTTTGACGCGCATAAAACTAGTTTCCTGTACTTCAATTATGTTCAATAATTGTTAAAATGACTAAAAAATTTAATATAAAACTTTTAAAATGATTGAATAGTACAACCTTCTTGATATTTACTAAAATGGTAAGGAATTTAAGCCCTAGAACCGATTACTGTATTGGCGGACTAATACTACAGCTGGTGAGGAAGCGAAAACATGTTGAGGGACGCTCGTAAGGAATTCGTTAATCAAGGGATTGCTCGTTAACCGAAGTGAAGAATCTTATGGAAGGTAATTCGTCAACCGAAATTTCGTTAACCGAGGGATCACTGTAATGCATAAGGGGGGGAGGGGAGGGGGTAGATGACCGTCCTCACACAAAACTTAATACATTTTGTTAATTATTTTCTTGTGATTATTTTTTGTCCCTCGGTGATGTGAAGTGTGGGGACACCTGCCACCTCTTCCACTTGGGGTGTCGTTCGCGCCGGGGCCGACCTTACATGCTGGGTGGTCTTCCTCCTCGCGTGTTGACCGTCACTGTTTGTTCTCACTGGCCGCTCTTGTTGATGCGGAAGAAGGATGTCCTGTTATCTGTCGAGTGTAATTAATATGGTTTTATTTATTCCATCTGAACTTCCAACTTGTAAAGAGAATCTCAGCATGAAGGGAAACATTGACCTGTGTGTATGTGTACCTACGTCTCTTGTTACAGCGATGAAAGAATTTGACTGTATAATGAAAATGTATTTATACTGAGGAAAAAAGATTTAATACATTCATTTTTTGAAGTTTATGGTCGATGTTTTTTTTATCCTTGTAACGTGTAAGTCATAAAGCGGGAATGTTTGTGTGTTTGTTCACATTTATGACAAGATTTGGTCGTTTGGTTTACAGCTTCGGTAATCTTGTATTGAACTGGCTGCCTATCACGGTGGTGGATTTAGCTGTCGTCTCGGCCAGTTCAGAGCGTTCCTGGCACACAAAAAATCTCGGCAGTAGATATTTGAACACAAATTAACAATCAAATGCACACATTTCCTTGATTTGAAGTTGTCATGAAACAGATCACCCCTAACCTAACCTAACCTAACCTAACCTAACCTAACCTAACCTAACCTAACCTAACCTAACCTAACCATTTTAGTCCACTGTATATATGTCAGTCGAGTTCGTTTAGGTTGGTCGTGTTGGAATTGTTTGGTTCATTTGACCTTTTTAAAACAATTTCATGGCAAGATAGCCTTTGTGTGTTGTCGGTCGCCATGTTTGTCCGTGTTTACCTGTACGTCGTCTTTCAAACCACTAATTATGAAGTATAGTCTTACCTCTATATAGCTGGTTACTCTCTCCATGTACTGTAATTCGTTAGATGGAAGCCTCGCATCTATCAGACTCTCGATATAACCAGCGAGATTACGTCGTCACGCCAAGACGTCTTCCTTTTACGCCTATCACCGAACACCATACACACGAACTCCCTCGGTTAGCTGTGTACACGTCAGTCGGCAAATTGTAAACTGATGTATTTGCAATTTTCTAAACCGACTTTCACTTGATTGGATACGTTCCCCGACGCCATTTCCATCCTTCGAGTAGAGGCGTTTCCTGATAGTTGTACGTATTTTATTTTAGATACAGTTTTAGTTTATTTTTAATTTTTAATATTTTTTTTGGCAAGATATGTGTAACACTAAATGATACCACTGTTGATGTTTCAGCCTAATAGATCAGTGTCTGGAAGGTATTTTGTTGGTCTATCAACTTATATTTTAACTGTTTCACTTTCTCGCTTTTTAGAGCACTGTCGTCAGGAAAATTAGCGGTGAATTGTATCAAAAATGACGTCCTACATTACTTCTTTTCCTGCATAACAGTAGCGTGATAAATCAGACACACACACACGCCCTCACTTATCTCTTAAACTTGTAAGAAATGTTTCCTTCCGTTCATCAGGAAATGTACGATTGTGACTGTTTCTTTTATGTCGACTTTGTTCACCGTTAAGAACTTTAGACACACTGCCATAGTTTGGGGATGTACAGTAAGTTGTAGACATTGATATGCGCTGCTCACAAGGTTCAACATATCACAGTGAGAGACCGGCTAATGAACATTGCCTCAGGGACAGTTGCCCGGTACCAAGTAAAACACATGCACACACATCCTGGACAAACTCTTAATGAACAGGGTTTTAGGACACGTCAGTTCATATGGTCTCTCTCTCTCTCTCTCTTGTTCTCTCATTCTTTCTCAGGTCTCTATCTCTCTCTCTTTGTCTCTTGGGTCTCTCTCTCTCTCTCAATAATAATGTAATAATAATAACAATAATGATATAATAATTTTGCTTGATAGTTTTTAATAACCTTGGCATAGGTCTGCTAATAATCTTAAATTTGACATTATTTCCCAAGCTTCCTGGTGAATCCTTGTGGGATCCATAATACAGTATGGCTTTGCAGGCACCATGGTGCCCACACTGACCTTTTCTCTTGAGGGCTACAGGGTTGTACTGATGGCTTACTCTACAGTACACCAGACCTGAGGCACCCACTTCCACTGTTAAAATATAATTGATTAAATATTTCCGCTAAATATATAGACTTTAGAAAATGAATTGGCAGAACACAACAAAAACTTGCTTCTTAATCCCATAAACTTTACACTTGAGGTCAGAGAATGTTGATTTAACAAGACGGTACACTACAGGGGGTCCCTGGTTACAAAAGAGTTCCATTCCTAAGGACGTTCTTAGTCAGAACACAAAGCCGATGTGCACTATATCATAGTCTTAGCCTAAGTCCTTTTATACATCTTGAATCACTTAATTTAAGAGAAAAGAAGAAATAGAATGACAAAATACAGAAAATGAAAGTAAAATATAAGTCATCAGGTAAATAAAATACTGTGAATTTCAAGTTTAACCTCGTTCGTATCGGCAGGTGTTCATAAGTTGGGGACCCCCCTATAATGGAAAGTAAAAATTGGAATTTAACACTTACATTAAAACCTTGGGCTGGTTGATCTTCCACCTATATCAATAACAATCTTTCCATTTTAATTAACAATCCACTTCTTTGTTTAGTTATCACAGTTGAGTGCATTGGTGTAGATCCTTTAACATATTCAAGAATTTTCTCTTTGTTTTTCAAAATTGTTCCGATCGTTGACCGGCTGAAGCCCAACGCTTTACCAATGACTGAGGACGCTTTGTGTTTTTCAGAACGTTTAGTTACATCAACCTTCACTACATTTTAATGGTTTTCCTTTTTGGAGCCATGATGAGGGCACAAAAATAGAGTTAATAAGCAAAAAAACAACAGTTTACACTTGATCAAACAATTTACTGAGGAGGATAAGGTCCCTCAAGGTGCACGGCTGGGTGATCCATTATTCCCACCCACTGCAACACCTCACAACTACATTAGGTACAAACCAGTTGTACCCATGTCGGATTCTTAAAATAATTGACCTCATGGGACCGTGTTCTTATAGGCGGGTGTTCGTAAGCCGGAGGTTCGTAACTGAGGGACCCCCTGTACCTGCCTCAAACACAGTCATGGTTCATATAGTCTTGGCCCTGGTAATGTTGATCCCAGGAGCGAGATACTCAAGTGGCAACGAATTATGACCTGCAGGATAATAACAAGCAATATGAGACTAAGGTAGCTGTTACCTGCCTGCCATGACCACAAGCTGAGGAAGAAAGTTGTCACGTCATATGGTGGTTACCTCTTGGCCGCGAGATATGATATGGTCAATTATGTTGCCTCTGTGCCAAAATCAAAGAGGAAGAGGAAACTAGTGGATAATGCCAACACAGTCAAGACCAAAAACATCTGGTAGTGATTATTTCCCTTAAATAAACCAGACAAATCAGACAAGAGATGTATCATTATGGTTAAATTATTATTATTATTACTGTATTACACAATCATCATTATTATTATTCATCCAACAATAATGACATACTGGCTTGGGTCAATCCTAGGCTACTGTATCTCCAGCCACACCTTGAAAACTTCTACTGGTGTAGAAGCGTGAAGCCAACATAATCTACATGGGGACGGCGTGAGAGTTCCTTGTTCAGTGTTGTGTGTGGTCCCATCTCCTCGCACTACTGTAATTACTTGGTGAGGAACTGATAGTAATGGATCAAGCGTTCCCCAGTTAACACCTCAGACACCTTCCTTAAGATTGTCCTGCTAAATAAAGATGAATTAATACAAAACTCACATTTCTAACACCTTGGCAGGAGTGTTATTAAGTTTTGTGTTATCTTGATCACAACTAACACAAGTTATCTTTTACTTAGGTGAGTCAACCAGGATCATATAGTACAGTAGCTGTAGTTTTCTGGTATAGTTGTCATATGTTACGTAATACATTTAATAGTTTTTGTTCACATAAATAAAATTCTGTTTGTTGACGTTTATAAAGGCCTTTGCCGATATAAAAAGTCCATTGCAATGTCACAGTGGTTTTTGTACATCATATATTGCATTATAATTCTCTATATGTAATGTACAAACACTGAAAATGTTTACCAACAATAGAAGAAAATTTATGAATACAGGAGGAAAACTGTACCTAACCACATGTTATATTATAGCACCACATCTCAGGTACACTCCACGCCTGGTATTC